AGAGGATACAGAGTGACAAGAACCTCCTGGACCAACCTGACTCTCCTATAGAGGTGAGTTTAAACATGTTTGCAAAGCTTTTTGTTCTCCGTTTTATGAGATTAACTGTAAATCCGCTTTGTAAGTTTCATTATTCTGCAGCCAGTTTTTTTATTTATTTTTTATTTTTTATTATTTTTATTTATGACTGACTGGCTGCATGTTTGTCTTTCACCACTTTTTAAATATGTCTTAACATACTTAAATGAGAGCAATGCAGTTGTTTGGTATAGCTATTTTTATGATTTTTTTTGGTCTAATTTTGGGATATGTTGTTATTGTCCTCGGATTATATATTCATTGTGCTTGAAGTTTTTGTTGTTGTTGTCGTTTTCCTGCTTTAATGAAATAATTTGCCGGACTTTTCTAAAAGGAATTGATGCTGTTTGTAACGTTTGCTCTTAATGCACATTTGTCTCTTTTCTATTTTTGTTTAACTTAACATATCTTACTGAAGACATTTTTGTGTGTTTGCTTGTCTTGTTTATATTTAGTCAAATGTATAAGTTCCACGAATTTTCAGCACCACATTATGAACAGCTCCTCTTTTATTCACATGTTTTCCCCTTCATTTTAAGGGGGTTTTTTTTGTGCATTTTTTGTTGCATTTTTTTCGTATATATTTTCTACCTCTCCCAATAATACTAATAATACAAATGATAACAACAATATTAATAATAATAACAATAATAATAATTATTATACATGCTGCTATCAAAAAATGAAGCTTCTTTCGACATTTTTTTTTTCTGCTTGTCTACATTTTTGGTGTTCCACGTTTTGGACTCTAAGTGACGCTGTTTAATAAGGCATCGTGTCCTGCTGGTGTTCTTTATTCTGTCTTTGGGTGAGGACATTTAAATAACATCGATGCAGGCTCAGTAGGATCATTTGGACAGGTTGGACTCTTTGGCTGGACGCTGTATTTGTTTTTTGACGCTTTTTTTTTTTTTTTTAATTTTCCGCTCCCCGTATTGGATCAGTGCACACCCGAGAGATGTTAACGTCAGATTGAAAAAAAAACCCAGCTTCATCTCTTTTTTTATTAGTGTTATTCCCCTCTCTCTCTCTCCATTATGGCGTTTCAGCAACTCCTCTGCAAATGGGGTTCGGCTTTCAGTATGAGGTGGACACTCTTTCTTTTGCTCCTTTCGTCACTGGATATTATCGCCGGACAGATTCGCTACTCTGTTCCCGAGGAGCTGAAAAGAGGCTCACTTATTGGTAATGTAGCACAAGATCTGGGTTTAGATCTAAAACGGCTCCGTTCTGGTCGGGCCCGCCTCGTGACGGGGGAGAGTCTCCAGTACGCCGAGCTAAAGGCAGACAAAGGGATTCTTGTGGTGCAGGAGAAAATAGACCGGGAGCAGCTCTGTGGTGACGTAACGCCGTGCAGCTTCAGCTTCGAGATGATTTTAGAAAACCCCATGGAGCTGCACACCATCACAATAGAAGTTTTAGATGTAAATGATAATGCCCCGTTATTTAAGAAAACAGAAATCGAGTTAGAAATTAGTGAATCCGCAAACGTCGGAGCTCGGTTCGCGCTGGACAGTGCAGAGGATCTTGATGTTGGCGTTAACGGTCTGCAAAACTACGTTTTGACGCCAAGCAGTGATTTTGTTTTAAAGCAGCACGTTAATCCTGATGGAAGTAAATATGTAGAAATGGTGCTGCAGAAACAGCTGGACCGAGAGGCGATACCCCGTCTCTCCTTAAAGCTCATTGCTGTAGATGGGGGGACTCCACAGAAATCTGGAACCATGAATATAAATATAAATGTTTTAGATGCAAATGATAACGCTCCCGTGTTTAACCAGTCTGTTTATAGGGCTGCTGTTACAGAAAATGCCATAATTGGTACCTACATCGTTACTGTTAATGCTACTGACGCAGATAGTGGACCAAACGGACACATCACGTATTCCCTTTCAAACACAAAAGGAAATAGTGCTGACTTGTTGTCTCTGGATCAGTTTTCTGGCGTTTTATCTGTTGCTGGTCCAATTGATTATGAAAAAGACAAGAAATACGAGCTTAGAATCGATGCAAAAGATCAAGGAGGTTTAACAGATTCCAGTAAAGTGATTATTGAAGTAAGTGATGTGAATGATAACTCTCCTGTCATCAGTGTCATGTCCTTCACTAGTCCTGTGTCAGAGGACTCTCCTCCTGGGACAACTATCGGCATCATTAATGTCAAAGACCTCGATTCAGGCGAGAACGGACAAGTTTCCTGTAACATAGAAAAAAACGCACCTTTCAAAATAAAATCCAATTTAAGACATTATTACACTTTAGTGACAGATTCTGCATTAGACCGTGAAAGTGTTTCAGAATATAACATCACTGTTGTTGCTACAGACGGTGGAGTCCCTCCTCTCTCAGCTAAGAGAACTTTTAATTTGAAGGTGTCAGATGTGAATGATAACGCTCCGTTTTTTCCACAAAGTGTTTACAGCGCGTTTCTAGCAGAAAATAACTCTCCAGGTATTTCTGTTCTCACATTAAGAGCTAAAGATCCAGATGAAAACCAAAACGCTCGAATATCTTATATTTTAGAGGACAGTAACATCGCTGGATCCAAGATTTCTGAATATGTTTCTGTAAATGTAGAAACTGGAGTCGTTCAGGCGGTGCGCTCATTTGATTATGAACAAATTAAAGAGTTAGATTTTGTTGTCAAAGCACAGGATGGAGGTTCTCCTCCACTCAGCAGCAACGTGACTGTGAAAATCCTGATCCAGGACCAGAATGATAACCCCCCTCAAGTTCTGTTCCCGGTCCAGACCGGTGGCTCCGTGGTGGCTGAGATGGTGCCTCGTTCAGCAGATGTGGGCTATCTGGTGACTAAAGTGGTGGCTGTTGATGTGGACTCTGGACAGAATGCCTGGCTCTCCTATAAAGTGCAGAAAGCCACAGACAGGGCTCTGTTTGAAGTGGGCTTACAGAATGGAGAAATCAGAACTATCCGTCAGGTGACTGATAAAGATGCTGTGAAACAAAGACTGACTGTTATAGTGGAGGACAACGGGCAGCCGTCTCGTTCAGCTACAGTCATTGTTAACGTGGCGGTGGCGGACAGCTTCCCTGAAGTGCTGTCAGAGTTCACTGACTCTCCACACGACAAGGAGTACAATGACACGCTGACTTTTTACTTAGTGTTGGCTCTGGCTGTAGTTTCCTTCCTCTTCATCACCTGTTTAGTGGTTATTATCTCAGTGAAAATCTACAGATGGAGACAGTCTCGCATCCTGTATCACTCCAACCTCCCTGTCATTCCATATTATCCACCACGTTACTCAGACACTTTGGGGACAGGGACTCTCCAACATGTGTACAATTACGAGGTGTGCAGGACGACTGACTCCACAACTAGTGACAGGAAACCGAGTCAAAATCTAGTGAGTGTCGATGGAGCTGCCGTTGATACACCTGAAGTGGACCAGATTTCAGCTTATAATTCTCAGATGTCGACTTTGGTGAGTGTTCTTTTTTATTTATTTTTCTGGGATTGTGTTCTACTGTTTTCTATATTAGTAATGAAGACAGCAGTGACAGAGGCCATTTATCTCTCCCTGCAAGGTGCTGTCCATGGTACTGCTAGAATCAGGTTTCTCAACTAACCTCTACATTTAAATGTACCTTTCTGATTTTAGAGTTCCTCGCCGGAATAAAATACATCTAAATACACAAATAGGCATTTTAGATTTGATTAAACACACCTCATTTGGATAATTATCATTTATTAATTGATTGATTGACTTACTGAGTGTAGTGGTGGCTCATAGGTTTAAGAATGTGGGCCTGTGATCGGAAGATCACTGGTTCAACTCCCAGTACTGACAACATCAAAATGTGGGTGTGAATTGGTGAAGTTCCCACACCTGCATCCACCCTCATTTGCCCATGGCTGGCCCTTGTGAAAGGCACTTTCCCTCTATGCGCCACACAGAGGGCTGAGGTAGCTCGGTGGTCTATAGTTTCATCAAGAAGTGCTTGTAAAATTAATTGTCAAGTCTTTGTGTGACATAGTTCTCTGTGATGACCCATAAAGAAGGGAACAGCCAAAAGAACACGAAGAAGAATGGATTGATTGATTGATTGGTTTATTGATTGATTGATTGATTGGTTTACTGATTGATTGATTGATTGATTGATTGATTGATTGATTGATTGATTGATTGTATCTGGATGTTCCGTGTATGCACCGGTTAGGACATTGTACTATATATATTTATATAACAACAATATGTAATCATTGGCACCCTACTTTAAAAACAATATTCCTCAAAATATACAAGTATTTCTTGTTAATTTGATTTTTTTAAATTATTATTAGTAAATGTATGTATTTTTTGTTTGTTTTTGTATTAATGTGGATAAGTCTAAAATGATAGAAGGAAACAAACAAAAAAGAACCTCACACTAATTATTTATGACTTTTTTTTTTGAAACATAACAAAAAAACATTCAAATATTTTACTTTATTTATTAAAGTATCATATTTTATCTTGTTCTTTGTCTTTGAGGGCACATGTTTAATTCCATACTTATCATCCAGCTATGCAGTACAGATTTTCAGTGAAAATCACCATTTTATTTATTTATTTATTTATTTATTTATTTATTTATTTATTTATTTTTTTTACTATCAACTTTATTTTCCCCAATAATCCTTTTTGCAGCAGGAGCTTCTGTCTTTTAATCAAGCTTCGTACATGTTGAATTAATTCATAAAGAGCATTATTAATATCATGGTTTGTATGTCTAAAGAAATCATTTTACATCCAAACACATTTTCTTACTAATATGCACAGTACGTGCACGGTCTCTGAGTGCCGCTGTTGATTCATCGCTGAATGCCAGTTTAAATAAAGAGCTCAGGCTTCCACCTCTCTCCATCCAGTCAGTGTTTTCCTGCTTTCAAAGACGACGCTCAAACCTTCGGCTTTTTGTTAAAGAGTAAAACATCTCCCTTGGAAACGTCGGGACTATTATTTTCTGTTTCTGGATCTTCCACACGTTTATACTGAAAAGGATTTCTTCGTGATGTCTTGTTTGTGGAAGGCTGCGGTCCGTGTGCAGCCACTGGCTGTTTTTCTTTGTGCTTGCACGCTGAGCTTGGTGGCTGCTCAGGCTCGGTACTCCGTCCCGGAGGAGCAAACGGAGGGGGCTTTTGTAGGAAACATCGGGAGGGATTTAGGCTTGGATGTGGACAGACTCATATCAGGTAAAGCTCGAATTATATCAAAAGGCAGTCGGCAGTACGTCGATTTAAACCGAGACAAAGGCACGCTTTTTATTAAAGAGCGCATTGACAGAGAAGAGCTGTGCGGGCAGACGACGCCCTGCAGCTTCAGCTTCGAGGTCATTTTAGAAAACCCTATCCAGCTATATCGTGTCACAGTGGAGGTTGTAGATATTAATGATAACAGCCCGACTTTTCCAAAAGATCAAATCGATCTAAAAATAGTCGAATCTGCAGCGGCGGGGACGCGATTCTCTCTGCTGAGCGCAGACGACCCGGATGTCGGCATTAATGATATTCAGAAATACATCCTGAAACCTTTAGATCATTTTAAATTGGAAGTACAAAACCAGCCGGGCGGCGGCACCTTCATTGAAATGATTTTAGTGGACCCTTTAGATCGAGAGAAGGAGGGGACGCACAGTCTGGTGCTGAGCGCCTCAGATGGCGGCGAGCCGCGCAGATCAGGGACGGTGCGCATCCATGTCACAGTGCTGGATGCCAATGATAATGCGCCAGTTTGCAGCCAGGCGGTTTATAAAGCAGATGTAAGCGAGAACTCTCCGGAAGGAACCGTGGTCACGACTGTGAGCGCAAATGACGCAGACACAGGCGTGAATGGGGAGGTGACGTTCTCCATCCCTCATGTGGGCAAAGAGGCGAGGCGGCTCTTTGATGTAAATGTCAAAACAGGCGAGATTAAAGTTGTGGGCAAACTTGACTTTGAGAAATCAAAAACGCATCAGTTAAATG